CGCTATCACCCCCCCCCCCCTCCCACACACACACTCACGGGATGATGGACAGATAGTCATTGTGATTGGACACCTGTCAACGGAATCCCAGTCGTTGTTTCTGCACATTTTTAGCGAATTGGAATCAGTCGTTTACGTTGATTACTACTAGTACTATTACTACTACTACTACTACTACTACCATTACTACTACCAGCACCACACTTGATTGTTAGCTAATCTCTGCCTCTCTGGAGATAAATTTTGAAATTCTGAACCAATAAACTCTGCCCGGTGTTTTTTCGTGTTCCTGTGTCACAGCGTGGTAAAAGTGATTGACAGACACTTATCTGTGTCAGTTCGTTTTTGGATCCGATCATTACCGTTTTCTATCAAATCAAGGTTTTGCTATTCCTCCAGATTTAATACTGTTAGCTATCAGAGAAGAATTTGATTTTGAGGATAGACAATCGCTGATAGTTGTTTGCGTTGCTCGCTAGTGTACTACTATTCAATCGCCCGAGGATCAACACTCTAGCTGTTGCGTAATACAGTGCAAACTGCAAGACAGCAGGCTTGTCCCAAGTGAGCCTGTAACCATCGTTGTGTATTTCATTCACCTCCTCTGGAGAATGAGTTGATGAAATGAAAATCGACTGGAGACAGTTCACTGACAGTGCGGAGAACCCTTGCTAAGTGACCACATTCTCGAACGCTGCCGCTGACCATCGTTCGTGACCATCTTTTTCACGGTTAGCCACGATCTGGTGATCGTTTCCCCATGGAGACGTGCTCAGTAACATACAGCTCTGCTCTTTTAGGTTCAACGATTCAGCGGTAAAATTTGAGTTGCCAGTGAGTCAATAGGTTGTTTTTGTGTAAAATATCTCTCTTTCTCAGTCCACAGTGACGAATCCGGTACACTGTGCAATCCTAATAAAGCCCACTTGTTCAGCAAATTTAAACTTCCCCAACGATACAATAAATACGAGATTGATTCATTTTATTCCGCTACGTTCTCACTCATTCTCTAACTCTCTCGTGCCCCATGGTTCTCACAGTCCCAGCTCGTATTGAACCGATTGAGAATTTGGAAAAGGTTCGCGGTTCTCGTTTCAATCTCACATGTAGCGTACACGGAGACCCGGATGATCTGCGCGCGGCATGGTACTATCGATTATCGCCCAATTCCAAATGGCATCTGATCGATAAACCATGTGTGGTTCCTCTGGCACTGATTGATGACAATCGAGGCGCACTGCGTGAAGATGGGACAATGGATCCTCGGTTGTTTGACGATGAGGCTTCTCGCCTCGTGGACAGTGCTCCCGTTCAACAGGAGCTGAGCACAACGTCCACCATTTCCAGCCTGGCCGATTGTCAAAGTTATGCTACCGAGGGACTGGAAAGTGGAATTCTATTCAGACAGGTCAGTACAATCGGCACAGTCGTACTCCCCCCCTCCGCGTTTATTTGTATATTTTATAGCCAAACCAATACTCATGTTCCAGCAAGTAATCCACTCCTTGTCATGTTTATCCTAGTTGAGAAGAAAAAAACAGATCAACTTTTCATCTCTAGTTTTATCACATTTTGAGATGATTGTAGATTTTTTCGATCAGGCACGAATTCAATCTTTTCTCAATCTTAATAATCGTCATCATCGCATTTGATAGTTTTCTGATAACTTTGGGAGCCCAACTCCGGTCTTTTGTTTGTTCCTATAATATCCAATGTGTGGTGCTGCCCGGAGTTCAACAGTTTCTGTGTGGTTTGCGAGAGGGAGGGAGGGAGGGTTAAAGTGTATGAATTTTATCCGAATTCGAATTATTCAAGCTTTTCTCAATGCAAGGCAGTTAGTCGGTGCGGGGAAAACCGCAATCCGTTGAGGGCCGGTGTCCAGTTCATCGGATCATACGCCCTTTGGACGGAATCAAATGTCCAAGGTGTCGAGTGGACCTCGATGCCCAATCGAGCCGGTAACCAGTGCGATAACCAGGAAGTTGTGTGTGTGTGTGTGTGTGTGTGTGTGTGTGTGTGTGTGTGTGTGTGTGATTCATACGCCTCCTCTGGGTTGGCTTGCAATCTGGGTTTTGGGCCAACTCTTTCCTTAGGTAAACTACCAGTGATCCACCAACCCGGTTATAGTCCCGGATTTTGGCTTTTCGTTCTTTCACTTTGGTGAGAAAAACACCTTTGCCACCACGAGGATGCAGTGACTAGGGCTTTCTCGACAGAGACTATTCGAGCCGCTTGGTTGTATAGGAAAATTTTATGAGATGCAAGGGATCGGTGGTCAGCCACAACCCGAGACACTCACTTCCGCGACCATACGGAAGCCTTCAGGGATATGCGTGTTCACGAAATTCCCTTTTTCCTCGTCGTTTATGGGTTCGTACATTGTGAGCAGTTGGAACCAGGGTGAGGTCAAAGTGTAGCAGGCTGTTTTCATGTACTAAATGGGGTTATTGAAATATTCGATTTCTCCTGTGCTGCAGATAGCTAGAGAAACTGTCAGGCGATGGTTGGAGCAGTATTACTATTACTATTATTATTATTATTATTATTGTTATTATTATTATTATTATTATTATTATTGACTGCTGAAGAAACCGCCAATAGCATCTTTTGCGTGCTACTCATAAATATGAGTAGTATCTCACAACAATACCACATACCTTGAGACGCTCTGATATTATGGGTGCAATTTTTTGGGGCAATGGAACATTTTCATTCACTCACTGTTCTGAGGACGAGTAAAGTGCCAACAAATAAGGAATTTGTTCCACATACACACATACACACTCACACACTTGACATAGTCACACTCTGCTGTCGAGAATTTTTCACTTCCTGTATCAGACAACAATCATCATTACGTGATCGCATTATATCCTCCACTTACTTGTGGCAAGTTATCAAGTTCGGAATAATTCCGAAGCTGTTGTCAAGTTCGGCAATGCTAGTTGTTCACAGTAACCCTGCTCGGATGAGTTGGACTATACATATAACATATGGTGTATGGATAGAATAACAATGTTTTGTCAGTTGCCCCTAGTGCGGTGGTCAGAGGGATAGTGTACTTGCTTTCGGTTCCTGGTTCGATCCCAAGATGGGGCATTAGATGATATCCAACAACTTTTCTCTTCACATTTCCTCTACTCTTTATGCGACCACTATTCCACTCCATAATCGAATTAACTCTTTTTCTACTCCCGTGTACAGATTGACAACAGTAAAATTTAGATGAGGGAATGGTTCCGTGCACGCACACACATGCAACTGGGAAACTTGATGCACACTCATTACGCTTTTTCTCTCTCTCACTCCCCACCCATCCCCCACGTTTTCACAATACACACACACACACACACACTGTGCTCTCTCTCTCTCTTCTGTTCCCACAGATCTCCTTCTTCAAACCGAACAAACGCGGATTGGATCGTCAGCTTCAATTTTTCAGTGTCAAAGAGGTTCATATGGGTGAATATTTGTGCCGTGCCTCGAACATGTACAACCGAAACCCAGACGGTGAACGGGTGGAGGTGGAAGCGTTTGCCCGACTGACTGTCATCTGTAAGTCCAGCACTGAGGACGGAGTAGATCTATATGTATATATACACATATATTAGAGAAAAGCAGCGCGGATGTGGTACGTCGTTGGACTAAAACTATTTGAATGGATATTGCATCTGTTGGTTTTTTCGGTTGGCTTTCCACTTCGGATGCTCGAAACAGTACGAGACGCAGAATTTTAATTCTGGTAATTCATGTGCGTGTGTGTGTATGTATGTGTGTGTGTGCGTGTGTGTGATCTAACCGTCTGATTCGGTAATAGATCTCTTGACGTCCCCTTTGGTTCATCTTTTATCGCGAATCGAATAGCTCCCAATTTATCCGGTGGCTCTGGTCAAACCAACCTTAAAGACACATATTTGAAATATTTCGGTGTTACTTTATCCGACCATCCTTCGATGATAGCAGGTCCCTAGAAATAGCGAATCCATGTGGAAACGACCTCTCGCGGAAAATTAGTTACTCTGAATGAGACAAGTGCATCTGATGCAACCGAACTATAGACTTTCTTCTTTTTCAGAAATAGATGCATCCTTTGGCATTATCTAATTGGTCATTTTTAGACAATCGAGATCCCCTACTTGGACATACATTATTGAATTATGACACAAGAGCACTCTACAAAAGACCGACATTTTACGGATAGTTGATAAACGTTGTTTTTGTATGTATCTTTATTGAGTAGCGGTTGTAATGCCCGTGATCAAGAGTACCTATCGAACGATTGGTTAGATTGCCTTCTGGCCACGTTAGAGTGACTAATCATGTCTGATTGAATGGAGCGATTGAAAATTTAGCGCTTCAGTTTTCGCTCGTCCCCCAACTTGTATTCATGTTTTAATAGTAGGGGTAGTAGTAGTGGTTGGCTCGTGGTTTCCCGTTGGCTGACGGTCCTAGACACTTCATCACCCCACCCACCTATCCCCCTCTGCACATACGGTATATTCACCGTTTTGAGGTGTTGTGTTGCGTCGCTATTATTTATCCAATTGAGCAGCACTGTCTGACTGAATTCCGGGAAAGCAAATTGGACCGACCTATCTCGTCGAACTTCCTGTTCTCCAATCCGGTGAATGTGTATTGATGATGATGAACAGCTCTAACTGGAGAGAAATCTGAGCCCAGTGCTTCCCGAGTGTATGGTTGACCGTAACGGAACTGGAGAGATTATGCGTGGGAAGCTGAAGTCTGAAGGACCGTCTATCCAATTTACTTCACTTATCCCAAACCACCATTTTGAGGTAACTGCGTGTTAAA